TTGGGTGACACCTCATCAATTTAATAAAAAAAGAAAGAATAACAAACACAATAAGAAAATAATATTTCAATAAGATTTACTTAGAATAGAGAGTTTGATACAGTGAGTACTAAAAATGTGATAAGCTAAAATAGTAAAAATGAATTTTAGGTTATAATTTGGCACAAAATTTGTTGAGGCTAATGCAGATACTCTAAATGTGGTGATTGGCGGTCAGGGCGGAGATAGAGAGGAGCCAGGGGGTCACGTGCCCCCTTGGGTTTTAGGCTTCTTTTTTTTTGTTTTGTTTTGTTTTTTTAAACCAAATATAAAGAAAATATCTTTTAAAAAAATTATAAAAATATTATTTAGAGAGAAATGCCAATGACATTTTTAAAATTATAAGAACAATAATAGTTATTTTGATTAAAAATTAAAAGATTACAATAAGTCATATTATTATCTATGAAAAATTTATAATTTTTTTGTAATGTAATGGTGATGTATATTATTATTGGCATGCAAATATAATTAATCTTACTATGAAGATGTATAATTAATTAGATTGTTAGTTATATTTGACATGTGAGGTTCATCCTCCATGTGTTTCTCTATTATTGGTTGATGATATTACATGTCAATGATGATGTGGTATTACCATTATATTGAATTTTTAATCAAATTTTATATAAAAATTACTTTATCATTATATAATTTATTTTAAGACTTATATTCATAACTCTTTTTTTTTTACATTGTCCATGATATATTAGTTACAAATAATATCATTTTTTTGATCTTTCTCAAAGTTTATCGTAAAAATTTTTATAAAAAATTTCAATATTATAATTAATAAGTAACTCTCTAATTTAATTTTCTAATTTTGTCACTGTGGACAGTTGACGTGGTTGAAGGTGGCTATTAGAGTATATCATTAAAGGTTATGGGTGATGACCGTTTGATTATTGAAGTTGATCGGAGAATCATTGAAAAAAGACTAGAGTTGGCTAGATTTTGTCAAAGGGTTACCAGAGGTCTGCCCATTAGCAATGTAGCTGATGGGCGGTGGTCATCAATGGGTTTGTGGTCGGACGTGATGTGGGAGGGAGAAGATACTGAAAACTTATTTAAAAAAATAAAAATAAAAATATTTCTTTTTTATTTTTAAAAATTTTGAAATGAATTTTACTTTTATGAAACCTAAGGCTCTGTTTGGATGTGTTTTCAAATTAAATTTCTACTCTATCACTCCCGCTTCACGTTTGGATACGACTTTCAAAATAGTATTCCACCATATCATTCAAAATACAATTCAAAAACCCGTTTGGCAGCTTTGTTCTTCATTTCTCCACTTTCAACGTCTTCAGCCTTCTTCCTCTTCCTTTCTGAAAAGCTTCTATGTTTCATCATCTCTGAAAAGGTTCACGTGCAAAAAAATATATATATACATGTGAACAAATCTACTCGTCTTTCTCTGTTTCAAAGATTAGGACTAAAGATTCATCACGTGTAGTTTTCATAGAGAACTCAGATCATTTTATAAATTATGTCTGTGAACCCACTCTCTACCCATATCATCTTCCACAAATCAAGTGAGTTACAATTTGTGGGTTGTGAAAAATTCAACCAAACAACGAAATCGAGGTCAAATAAATCACAAATTTATTTGAAATATTTTCTTACAAGTCACTGATTTTCTGAATTATCCCTAATTTTATTCTCAATTTTTTTTTGTCTCGGGTCAAATTTATCAAACCTATTGTCGAATCAGACGACTACCAAAGAGTCACACATTCAGTCACTGTACCCACTACATCACCGGTGATAACTATTCAACTCCCACTAATCTGGTACGTATATCCTTCAATGATCTGTTATGTGCAAATGAGTTCTGAAATGATTTCTGAGAAGTCCAAACGAGTATAGAGATAGTTTCTGATCTATCTGAACTCTTTGAACGGTTGAAGCTGAGCCGGTCGTCCCTCGGGTTATCTGGCCAGTCATCCCCGGGTCATCTGACCGGCCGGTCGACCTCCCTGCTCATCCCTTTCTTCTTCTCTTCTTCTGCTCTTCTTCTTCTTCTTCTTCTTCTTCTTCTGCTTATTTCTTCTTCTCTTCTTCTTCTGCTGTTCTTCTTCTTCTTCTTCTTCTTCTTCTTCTTCTGCTGCTTATTTGTGGTTATTTTTTGACTGTATAAACTTGCTTCACAAACTTTTTACAGACAATGTTATGTGATTTTTATTTTGTCTCTGTTTTGACCTTCAAATCATCTGCCTTTTCTACAGTTCAAATAAACATTGATGTTATGTGGTTTTTATTTTGTCTCTGTGTTGCCCTTCAAATCATCTGCTTCTCCTAACATTATTTAACAAGTTGAAGTAAACATTAATGTTATGTGGTTTTATTTTTTTTCTCTGTGTTGCCCTTCAAGCCATCTGCTTTTCCTAACATCATTTACCAAGTTCAAATAAATATTAATTTTGCTTCGTACATAAATAATTGTAATTGGTTTTTGCTCTGTTATTTTTTTATATCCACTCCAGAGTAGTTTGCTCTGTTATTTTTTTATATTCACTGCAGAGTAGTTTAAATATAAATTGTATGTTTATAGATGGATGGAAACAATTCAGATGACAATCAGGATACAAAAATGTGGACTCCCAGAATTAAAATGAAATTAATAAACATGTTGACAGAAGAGGTTAAAAAAAATCAATAACGGGTTGTACTACTGTGTGGACAATTAGGCATTGGAATCATTTTGTAAATCAGTTGCACAATCTGTATGGATTTCGATATACAGCAAAGCAAGTGCAACAAAAATATCAGCGATTGAAAGCTGATTACCAAATGTTTAAGCGACTACAGGCACAGACTAGTCTGGGATGGATCCCATTGTAGGCATTGTTGTTGCACCTGATGAATTTTGGGATAAGGTTTTTCATTAACTTGTACTATTTTCAATTTTTTTTTTTTTTGTAACATTTCATCCACATACAGTTATGCTTAATTCAATATTTTCAATTGTTGTAGGCTACCAGAAATGTAAAGAAGTTTTAGGACAAAAGGATTGGGTATTTCCAAGAAATGGCGGAAATTATTGAAAATTGTTGTGCCACAGGGCCTTGTCTTGTGCATCCACACAAGGAGCCCTTGACTCAAATGAAGAAGATGAAATGCTAAATAAATTTTGGAACCCTGAAATTGGTGGGAGTAATGCTGTTGGAGCATTCCTGTTGACTTATTCGACGATGAGTACAGGGATCCAGTGAAGGGCAAAAGTCACAAGAGGGGCCCTTACAAGCAGCCAGACTGATAGTGGTCGTTCTAAAAAGTCACGGTCAAGTGGGTTCGATGATGTGTGCGCAGCTTTCACATCCTATGTACAGGCAAAAACAGAACATTCATGTGCAGCGATCAAATGACACAGAGACTGTAAGTGCAGGTGGTGATAAGTATTCCCTTGATGCATGTCAAGATGCATTGCTAAGAGCTTACGGAAAATACCACAGGTGTAGTACGTTAGGGCACTGACACTGTATAAAGACAAGGAATGACGAAGGTTTTTATGCGTACTCCTACCCATATGCGCCTAGCTATGATCCTAGCTTTTGCAGTGAAGTGAGAAGTTGTGTTTTGATTGAGTTAGCGATTCTCCTTGTTGTTCTGCAAGATGATTTGATGATTCTTGATTTGTTTTTTATCATTTTTTTTTCATCCCATGAGATGCTCTTTTTTTTTTTTCCATCTTCATATGTTTATTTTTATTTAACTTTTAAGTATTTTCCATTTTACATCAATATGTTGTGTTATTGTTCGTAGTTCTTTTATGTCCGTATTCTTATGACAAGATGAACACATATTAAACAAATTTTCTTCGCATATATATTTTAATTTTTACTGGTAAATAACTAAGGCCAATTATTCATGTAGCCACTTTTTAATTCAATTTCACCAATAATGGTAAGCGTTAGCATGTTGTCAAACATTATTTTATAAATATGCTTTTACTGTGATGTAGACGAAACAATATGTCATCCGACACAGAAAATAATGCAATGGAGATCTCATCAGAGGAGGATGAGGTTATTGAAAATTTTATGGATTTTTTGATGATTGCTTTCATGCATGACCATATCAGCGCATTAAGTAGTCGCCAACTGCAGCGAACTTGTTGATTCAAAGGTGATGATTACATCTTCAGCTTATTAAATGGCCATCTAGAAACAATGATGGACATTACGCGAATGGATGCACAAACATTCATTTTATTGAAAGACACCTTACTCCAAAATGGCTTTATCGATACTGAACATATACATATCAGTGTCGAGGAATCGCTTTGAATTTTTTTATATACTTTTGCACAAAATGATCGCCATCGACTACTGACAGATAGATTTCAACACTCCACGGAAACAATTTGTCGGCATATCAAAATTGTTATGCGGGCATTGTGCAAGCTTGCATCAACGGTTATCAAACCACGTGACCAAGACGAGATATCGGCAAAAATTTTAAATGACAGGAGGTTTTTTCTCTGGTTCAAGGTATGAATTTAATGATTGTCCTGTAAGTTTTTAATTATAATAAGGGACAATATTTTTTTTTTCTCTTGTTATAAAAGTAATATTCAAGTTTGTTTCGCTTTTAATGTCAAACAAATATCTTTCAATTAGGATTGTGTCGGTGCTATCGATGGCACATTGGTGGATGCATGGGTCCCTGCTTCAAGACAAAATACATTCTGTGGTCGCAAATCTACGGTATCGCAAAATGTACCCGCAGCTTGCGACTTCGACATATTGTTCACATTTATTAATCCTGGATAGAAAGGTAGAGCTCACGACAATGTTATTTTAGTTGACTCTATTACAAAAGCTGATCTACAGTTCACACACCCACCCAATGGTGAGTGTCACGAAATAACATACAATACACTTTTTGAAATTATTTTTTGTACATCTGTTTGACAGAACAGTGCATCCATTATTTACATGTAAGCAAGTATTATTTAGTAGATGCTGGTTGTCACAAACATGCTTGGATTTCTTGCCCCATTTCGTTCCCAATGCTATTACTTGCAAGAGTTTCATGGCCGTCATTATTCAGGACCCAAGGAATTGTTTAACCATCGACATTCGTCATTACGCAATGTCATAGAAAGATCATTTGGGATTCTGAAGAAGCGATTCCTAATATTGCGGTCCATGCCAAATTACAAGTCTACAAGAGAAGGCCCTCTCGTGATTGCATGTTGTGTACTGCACAATTGGATCCGTTTGCATGCAGATATGGATCCATTCTTTATGGAAGCTGATAATGAAATGGCGGCAGAAGCAGAAGCAAACGGGCTTGTTGGAGACGAAGCTGACTATGTTGACATGTCACAACATGGGTTAACGTACAAATCTAACTTTAGAGATGCAATTGCTACTGCTATGTGGCAAAATCATGTTGGCCATGGATAGATTTGTGATGTGAACAAGGCAAGTGAATATCGTAGTGACTAATGGTTTTAAACGTATAATTATTTTACTAGTTTCAATCATTATGACACCTTTATTACATAACTTCGCCCACTTTACGTAACTGTGAATTTAATGATTTTTTTCCTCTTTTTGTAGGATAACTAACAATGAGGACAACGATTGGGCTAAATAGCAATTAAATGAAAGGGAACACAAAGATTATCATATGGTCAATCAACAAAATGTTATTATGTGAATGAAGACACTTAAATATGTTGTTGATGCAATATATAATATGTAGGGTCAAACACTTTATTGAATTTGATGGTTGAATAATGCATGAAAAAATTGTAGTTTATGATATTCATTCAGTTTATGATGTTCATTAACTTTTTATTAAAAAAAAATGTTGGCCATGGATAGATTTGTTATTAATTTTAATTTTTTTTTTATTACTTTGTAGATGACATTTTTTTATTAATTTATTTTTTTTTCATTTTATTGAAATTTTGGCTTTCTTATTAATTTTAATTTCTTTTTATTAATTTTTTTTTTGTTCATGTTATTAACATAATGGTTTTGTTATTAATTTTTATACCAAACAAGTTTTGATTAATTTTTTTTCCCTTTTTATTAAGGAAAATGTATAATTATTAATTTTTAACATTTTTTTAATTCATTTTAGCCGAATTTTTTCTTAATTTGTTTTTTTTATTTTATTAAAATAATGGTTTTGTAATAATAGTTTTGTTATTAATTTTAATTTTTGTTTTAATTTGTAGGTGACATTTTTTATTAATTTATTTTTTTCATTTTAAAACAATTTTAAGGCTTTGTTATTAATTTTAATTTCTTTTAATTAATTATTTTTTTGTTCATGTTATTAATATAATGGTTTTGTTATTTTGAGATATTATACCAAATAAGAAAACATTAATTTTTTTTCCTTTTCATCAAAAAAAATGTATAATTATTAATTTTTAACTTTTTTTTATTTCATTTGTGCCGAGGACAGACCCTTAGGCCTGAGACCACTTGGCATTGATCCAAATTTTTGCTGCTTTTCTTCTTCTTCTTCTTCTTTTTGTACTTTTCTTTTTTTGCTGGTAGCTAGAGTACCTTGTATTGCCGCAGGCAGGTTTTGTTTTTTCCAAAACTTTGTACTTGAAAAAGATGATGAAATGAAACAAAGCTTTTTATCTGAAAAAGTGTTACATTTTGGTACATTACATTACATCACATAACAATGTAAATGGAATTGATCTCCCGTCTGAAAGTCAAATATTTGAATTGTAATAACCAGGTAATGAACCGGCCAACGGCAAAACAACTCAAACAAACCACTACTTATTTTGAATACTCGGCCCATACTCTGCTGGGAATTAATCTGCATACAGGCCATCTTGTTTATTCTGCACACGGCAAACCCTGAACAAACAGTCCAATCTGACAAGACGGAATACAAAGGTAGAATCGGTTGAAGTTGAAGCACTCTCAGACGCCCCAAATTTTCTTCACTACACTCCTCGTGCGTCTTTTTGTTTTCTGTGCCTTTAGACCCCGCTTTGGTCAAATTATGTTTGCATATTTGCCTACTAAAATATATTTTTATTAGTCCATGTATTTTAATTTTACGTATTTGTGTGTTTTATGTATTTTTCTGGGTATTTGTACATGTATTTATGCTAATAATCTTTTTATATATTATTATATTATAAAGTGTATAGTAATTTTACTGTGCATCTTTTGAAAACAATTCTACCACCGTTTCTTCTTTTGTCCTTTTCTTACAATTATTTCTATAAAGGGGAAGATCAGAGAAGGAATGGAGGATTTTTGGGGACAGGGGAGAGATTACAAGAGTCAAAAAAATTGGGAGAGGACGAATAAAAAAATGGGGATTGTGCGAGGGAATATTGAGAGAAAAAGAATCAGAAAGAAGGAACTGTTAAAGTGTAATCCAAATTTTAACTGAGAACGAGAATCACATTCCAACAGAATGATGGAATCAAAAAGAAAGTTTTGATCAGAAAATTCATCATCCCGAAAGGTGAGTTTTTGCAAACTTTTCATTTAATTTCAAATGTGATATAATTTGTTTAGTACTTTATTTATTGTTTTTCATAATATTTTTTTTCGCTTTAAATGGTCGGTTGAACCACCTATTTTACTACTTTATCTGCTGTAGTATTTACGGTTGTATATAAAACTGTGTAATTTACATAAAATGTTGTTAGTTTACTATTTCATAATGGTTGTAATTTTTATCGCTTTAAATGGTCGGTTGAACCACCTAATTTTATTACTTTATCTGCTGTAATTACGGTTGTATATAAACTGTTGTAATTTACATAAAAGTTGTAGTTTACTATTTATAAATGTTGTAATTTTATCACTTTAATGGTGGGTCGAACCACCTAATTGTTAAAAGATGTGACCCCGCCAATGATAGTGATCGGTGGTGAATAGTAACCTCCGACGGTAAATAGTAACTTCCGGCGGTGAATAGTACCCCGACGATGAATAGTACCTCCGGCGATGATAGTACCTCCGGCGATGATAGTAACAGCGGATGAAAAAATGCCTGGTAAGATGAATAACATCAAGAAAGGTGAATAGTAATTGTCGTGATGAATAGTAACTTCCGGCAGTGAATAGTATCTCGGGATGATAGTGCTCCGCAAAAGTAAGTTTCCCGAACAGAACGAAGCAGTCTTCACACGTCAAGCAAAATATTTTCCGGCGCACATAAAGTTTTCTTATTTTATTTTATTTTATTTTGAGAGTTTGTGAGGTTTTTTATTTTGTTGTAATATCCTTCTCTCTCTCCTTTATCTAGTTTGTAATAATTTATTCAGAGGTGTAATATTCCCCGCCCCGCTTCTTTCTATCCGTTCTTTACTTGCTTTCTTTATTGTTACATAAACATCATATTTTATTTTTCATCATAGTTAATGCTTGGCATGCCATGTTTTCATGCATTTGATCGGCTAAGTTTGCATTTCGTGGATTTTAATCAAATTCCTATGTGACTATTGTGCCCTACATCAGTCTTGAGATGATTCACATATATTATTTTAGAGGCTGAATTCTTTAGTTTGCATCTCATTGAGTGAATTGCATTAGGATTTTTGTATAAAGATCATCATGTTTCTAACTTTGTTTTGGTAGCTTGTTCGCTGGGTCCGTAAAAGCATGTAGTTTTTATGCTTTAGCATCCCGTTTGTGGTATGTTTTTCTACTATGTTTTAAGCATCCTACCATTGTGGCTATTTCTTTTATGTGATATAATTGTA